AAAATGAGAGAGAAAAATTATAGGGATCTTGACCATACTAAATGCATTGGATGTAAGAATCAAAGGGTCTTGATGAAGGATGAAGAAGTCAATGAAAGCTTGAGAGTTTATTTTAAAAAATTACTAAATGATGAGCATAATAGGAACATAGCGGTAGAATGAACTATTGGCATAAATGAGGGCAGAGGTCATAGATATATTAGTAGGATTAAAAAACCATAAGTGAAAAAAGCTTTGAACATGATAAAGATAGGAAAGGCTTTAGGACCGGATGATATCCTGATAGAGGATTGGAAGTGCATGGGGGAGATTAGCATTGACTGGTTGACCAAGATGTTCAACAAGGTGAGACTAAGAAAATAACAAACGAATGGAGGGGAAGTAATGTGATACCTATTTATAAAAACAAATGAAACATTCAAAATTTGTGAATTATTGAGATATGGAACTTATAAGCCACACTATGAAGTTGTGGGAGAAAGTGATTAAGCAACGACTAAGACATGAAACGAGTGTATCAGAAAATGAATTCAGTTTTATTTCAGGGATGTCAACAATTAAAGAGATTTTTCAACTTAGGCAACTAATTGAGAAGTTTAGGGCGAATGAAAAGAACTCCACATGGTCTCTACTGATCTGAAGAAAGCTTATAATAGAGTACCTCTATATTTAATTTGGTGAGTATTCGAAAAGAAAGGTGTATCCAAAAATTATATCGACTTGGTGAGAATATATATGAGGGAGCACTAACTAGTTTACAAATACTTAGTGGAGAGACGAGTGAGTTTCCAGTTACAGTAAGTACACAAAATAAAGTATCATGGTGTATGTTGTTTACAGAGGACATAGTTAAACCTCTAGAGGGATGCTCTAAAATCTAAAAGTTCTAAAATTAGTTGAACTAAGATATAATATATGGAATGCAAGTTTAATCATAATAGAAGGAGAAATTAGGAAGTAATTAAGATTTGACAGCCAATAAATATTGAAAAAACATATTTTGTATATATTGGCTTAATAATCTAAGAAAATGAAGAGATTGAGGAAGATGTTGTTAATAGAATTAGAACCGAGTGGGTGAAGTGTAGATGTAAAACCGGAGTTTTATATGATTGCCGCATTATCAATAAAGCTAAAGGAAAAGTTCTATGAGACAGCTGTGAGATGAGCTTTGCTTTATGGGACAGTATATACGGCGGTTAAGAAACAACATACCCATAAGATGAGTGTAGCTGAGATGAAATTATTGAGATGGATGAGTAGCAATACAAGAAGGAACAGAATTATAAATGAATACATTTGGGAGAACTTCGGTGTGGCTCTAATAGGCGATAAGATGAGAGAAAATATACTTAAATAGGTTGGCCATACGTGGTGTAGACCTAATACAACAACTGTTGGGAGATGCAAGTTGGTTCAAATGAAAAGCTCAAAAAGGGCAAAAGATATTCCCAAAAGGACATAGTTGGAAGTCTTGAGGAAAGATATGGTGACGTATAGCCTCACTGATGATAAGGCCCTTGATAGATCAAAATAGGGGACTAAGATTTATGTAGCCAACCCCAAATAGTTATAAAGGAGATAGAGAATTAGAACTTATCTGAGTCTTGCGAAAAGATATTTTTGGGGTGGACTCCCTTGCAAACCTAAAGAGGTTCAAATATTTCCAACTTTGAGGTAGACTCCCCTACAAATCCAGAGAGAAGGTATAATTTATCATCCCTTATTTTTAATTTTATGGTTTGTTTTATCTTTTCTTCTCCCTCCTCCCTGCTTCAAAAGGAGACCTAGACACCATATAGAAATTTATCGTGGATGGCAACACCAACATACTCCGATAGAAGACACTTAAGCACCATATAGTGGACACTTGTGCCCTACAAAAAGGACACCTCAGCATGCATTGGGATAATAGTGAGATATGAGATTTCACATTTGATTGTCATGTTACGCACTTGGCTAGGCCAATGATTCTTAAAGAAGAAAATGAGAAATCAACTAAAATGGTCTATGTAGGATGAGGACCATAAACGGTCCCTTAATCCATCCCAAGCCCAGGTAAAGAAGATGAGTTGTCTTACGTAGGCAGTTGATATAAAACTTTGTTAAACTTTCTATGAGTCAGAATAGACAAGGTTTCATGTAGCCGATTCCAATTAGTTGGAAAAAAGCTCTGACGATGATGATGAACTAAAATATACCCTAATTTTAACATTATATTAACAACATGGCACTTCACAATTAGATAACATAAAAAGAGTTTGCAAATATAATGGATGCTAAGTGAAAAATGGCACGCAAAAGACTTGTCTTAATTTTTAGAGCCCCACAGTTTGATATATATTAAAGAGAGCCAGAGGAGGAGCACTTGACACTCTGCCTAGAAGCATAACAAGCATTTTCAGTTTTTCATGACCAATAGGTGTGGTTGTGCCTCATGACTACGTCACTAATCTATTTCACAATTCATGTCACTTTAATGCAATCTGGGAATGGGATGTCTAGAGTTCCATTCTTACTCCCCAGTTAATATTACCAAGAAAGAACAAGGACTGCCCAACATTCTACTCCTCCATCCACCATGATCCATAGGCGTACAGATCATGGCCTAAGAGATCCATTGAGCCATATTATTATTATCAGCTACTGAGCAGGTTTAAATACCCATCACATTAACAGTGCCCATAAGAATAGCATTAGATACTAGGATAGCCAACAGAGAAAACGTAGGGATGCTAACACTGAATAGATGCAAACCCTATCCCAGAGGAGAGGAGTTTACCCTTAAACAGTTCAGCATGCAATAGTTTTGTATGGTCCTAAAAGAAATATTGGCATGCATTGAACTATAGAGGAATTGGTAGGTTAAATGGAAAGGGTTAGGCTTATTGCACAGTAAGAGTTTAATCATGCTACAGTGTTCACCAGTCAATCTAGTATGTCTAGGCTTCTATATAAAAACAATGTACCTTATCCAAAGAACGCATTATGATATATTTTGTTTGTAAGAATGTCAATGGAACGATTTTTCAGAACTTGATCATATAAAACTCCTTCAAACACTAAAAGGAACAATATGGTACGAAATAGATCTAGAGAGAGATAAAATAAAATTGTATTCTTCGTAATTAAGTTACGAAGAAAACAATCAAATATTTCATCCAATCTCAAGGGAATAAATACCAGACGGGAAGGTAAGCTATACTTACCCTTTGGGAAATTTTGGTAATTTTACTTATTTTCAAATATTTTATATAGGTGCATGATGGTCAAAGTATAGGGATACTAAATTTGAGCTTAATGTGATGTATGGAAAGATATAAAATTAAAGAAAAATTATGTATGGACAACCTTTTAATGGCTTAAATATGGTGCGAGTCAAATTTTTGAAAAATTATGTGGAAGACCACCCCAACCCTACAGACCCTTTTTTTTTTTTTTCATAATTGTCCACTTGTCCAGTATTTTCAACTCTAGATAGAAGAGAAATCCCGCAAGTTTTTGGCCACCTCTACTAAGAAGGGCCAGTCCATGATTTACAATACCAAACAATCCTGTTGTTCGGTGTTTCTAATACTGGACTCCTTAACTTCCTAAGATGTATGACATTAGAAAAAATAGATCTAACATAAGTAATTATTATTATTCCAATTCTTATTATCTAAATAGTACGATAGACTTTATGTAATGTAATTAATTTTATTGATATCGTATTTTATGTATTGTTACTTGTATTTGAATATATTTTAATTAGCATTATATTTTCCTTTAGCTTTTATTTGATCTTTTACTTTTTCTGTTCTAATAATATATTTCCAAATATTTATTGTATTTCTATTCTATTTTCTATCATTTTATATACATGCTTTTATATTCTAACCCTAAAACTAAAAACATAAATATAAAATAAAATACAATTAAAATTTTATATCTATGAATTATTTCATAAAATAAAAAATTCTATTATTGGTAAATTGTATTTCAGATTTATTGAAAGAATACATTGAATACAAATAAAAATAAATAAAATAAGAAGTAAATAAAACTAATCACATTACATAAATTATTAATTTAATAAAAATATTTTAAATAATAATAATTACTTATAATAGATTCAATTGTTCTAATGCCATATAGTTTAGGAATTTGAGCTATCTGGTATTAGAAACATCAAATTGGAGGGTTGTTCAGTGTTCTAAATACCAAACAAGCCCTTGCAAATAGAGTTGGCCAAAACCTCATGGGATTTCCTGCCTTCCTGGTGTTGGAAAGGCTAGACAGGTGGGCAATTTTTGAAAAAAAAACAAAAGGTCCGTGGGATGGTAGTGGTCTCCATGTAATTTTGCAAACTTTCAACTCGTATCGTTATAAAAAAAGGTGTCCGTACGTAATTTTCCTAAAATGAGAACATATTTTATGCTCACAAAAAATGGGATTTGATTGTAAACTATAAATATATGGGACTATTTTTAAATATAAAAAATAAAACACGAGTTATGTGTAAATTTCCCTTACGCTTTATATCCCGCAGATATAAGAGGGAGTTCAGGTTTATCTGCTCAAAGTCCAGCAAAATATCAGATAGCATGGGAGTTGTTTATATCCATGAAGATTACACATATGTAGTTAGTTATGAAATGAGTCACTTAATTTATTTTCTGAACTCCTGATCATCTAAGAACAACTAATAATATGCAACCATAATGAAGACACTGCCTCAATGGAAGAGAAAGGAAATTATCCAAATTAAGGTTCTATAAGTTTGTAAACTAGAGTTAGTATCCTGGTAGAATATTGAAAGCAAAATAGAGGTGAATTGGTGTGGATATTCAATAAAATCCCCTTGCTACAACAATTTAGATTTTGGAAGCTTTGGGCTAAAAATATATAGAATACACACAGTAAACCATTTCTTTTGTTAGATATTAGGAAAAATGACGAAAATTTTTGGCAAAGGGGAAATCAACTACCATGAAATGAACATTTGTGGCTAACAGGAAACCTTGAGAAGCCAATACTCATGAACTTTTTACAGAGACGAAAAGAAAGAGGAAACTACTGCTGACTCTCCTACTAACCATGTACTCCCCATGAAAGAAGCCCACTAAGATTTTATCATCACCTCAGAAACAGATGCCTCAACTTCTCTTGAATGTCGATAGTATCAATCTCCTTCCCTTCACAAACCTGTGGAAATGGCAGTGATGGTGAACTAATGTAGACAGCGCACAAATTCATCGCCATAACAAACTGCTATAATCCTTACCTCACACCGCAGGCAACGGATGGAGGACTGCCTCGAGCATGAAGAGGAACACGACTTCACCTCTAAGCCTGATTCTTCCAAGATGGCCACCACATCTGCGACACAAATTCCGCTTTCGTTGGCACCTCCGATCACCACCTCAATGGCACTGCCATCTCCACAGGGCCGTACAACAACCTCCGGAGCACTCCGCAGCCTGTCCCTTTTCTCCCTGAGTTCCTGGATCTTCTCCCTTTGGTGGGTTACATAATTGGTGGCCTCCTTTAGCTGGTCGCACATGGAGCTCTTCCCCTAAGATAATCAAATGCCATTTTGTATGTCAACTTCAAAACCTTCTCCGACCCCGGAAATACTTCCCTACCTTCTAAACAACCTCTCACACACACACACACAAACCCACCCACCCGTTCAAATGTCTAAACCCTAAAATGAAACACTTCAAGTTTTCAACCACCCCCTCTATGTTTCTCCTCTCTCTTAACCCTTCAAACCCATCTCTCTCTCTCTTTGAAGGAAACCCTAGAAATAGCCATCTCTCTCCCCTAGATGGAAACCCTAGAAATAGCCATTTCTTGGCAAAGAGAGAGAGAGCTAGTTTCGTCCTTTACCTCGAGAAAATCTTCGGGTATGTGAGATCTAAGAGTACCAAGGAGTGCAGTCATCTCTTCCCGCCTCCGCCGCTCGACATCCTTATGCAGCTCCTTCTTACTCCGCCCCTCATTGCTTCCCAGCTCCATCTCATGAGCTACTCCTATAGCAGTTGGGGAGATGGAGGTATGGGTGGTCCTCCATGATTTTTGCAGAGATATGGCAGGAAGATTTGGGCGATTACCAAATGCTTTCTTTCTCTCCTCCTCTTTCTATCTGATGCTAAGAAACACCGAATTGCACCAACAATATCCGGCAAAATCCAGTATTTTAGGGTTAGCGAAACAGTAAAGAAAGCGCACCAGCAGTGTTCATAGAATTGTATAATTTAAAGACCGAGGGAACAACAATAAACAAGTGCCAACGTTGGTGGAACAATATCGAGGGGGATCCTATATTTTAGAGCCGTGCAAAACGATGCCCAGCTTCCCTTTTTTTTAATTTTTTTATTGAGATATAAGTGACGATTTATTTTTAAGTTGGGGCGAAATTTTAGTCCCCAATAGATGACGTTTATTTCTTCTCTCAATTAGGAAAAGGGAAAAGATTGCGTACTTCTACGGGAGTACACTTCTTGTTTACTCCCTTGGGTGGAACCCAGGACATCTAGGATTACTTAGGGAAAGAATTTGGGCTTAATTGGTTAGCACTTGAAGATTTGCAACTCTACGTCCTAGGCTCAATTCCTACCAAGGTTAAGGGCCCTTTAGGCTCAATTCCTACCCTTGGTAGGGGCCTTCTCCCCACTGACTCACCCAAAAAAAAAATTAATCTAAGATTACCTTTAGGATCTCAAAATATTTTGGGGATGTGACGACCTCTTCAACCCATAGATTAACCTCCATAGAAAATACTAATGAATTGTACCCTCTATGCACTTAAAAAATAATGTCTAAAAAATGAATAGAAACCATTTAATTATTAGATAGTCAAATTTAGGTGTTAGAAAACTCAAATTGTAATTTTTTTTTCTTTTGAGAATAATCCATCTTGTAATTCTTAAGTGGTTCCCAAAATTTAAGATCTCAGTAAGTATACACCATGCTCTTGCAGGAGCATAGTATACAAAATTAAGAAAAGGGAAAGTATCCAGCAAGGCCCCACCGTATGCACCCGCGGCAAGATGAAAAATCAATTCTGGCATCGGAAATTTTGCCGATCATAAATAATGAAAAGAATCAATCCCAGCCTCTGAAATGATATATTTCGTGATTTATTTTTTGAAAAAATCCTCATTGTGAGCTTTTTCAGATCTGTCGGGTCCACCACATTAGAAATTCCACTATCACGGCTAAAAATTGAGTTTGCTGCGAGATTTGGGAGGCCCGAGGCCATACCTGAACCTCCCCCATTGAATTAGGAAATGGAGCACTTGTTTCACATGTTGATTAAAAAGGAAGGATGAGAATATTAAGAAGATATGTGATGGACCCACGCGTAAAGAAAGTAACAATGGTATGAAGTAAAAAGTTATTAAAAAAAAAAAAGAAAGAGGTTAGTGTGGACGCTCAGAAAGTGAGTAGGGTGATTAGGGGATGTGGGACGGCTAACGTGTTCCTCGATCCTCCAATCCATGGCGGAAAAACGCATCTCACGAGGGAGATTGGCCACGCATATTCCTAATAAAACCCAAATTATGGGTTACACAAGTGTCATTAGGTTCGGACTAGTCACTGAATTTGTGAGGGCTCTAATCTAATCAAAATTTGTTTGAATTATCAATCAAATTTTATATTTAAATTTTGCCCCCTTTGATGTGTATGTGGTGATATTAATGTTATTCGTTAGCTGGAGGAGTCTTCTACCCTGATAACTTAGACTCTTATATGAGAGGCTTTAATGATTTCGTGGACTTATTGATGTTCCGATAGTGGGTTTCGTTATACATGGTTAAATAATTGTTTGGGAATTTAATATTTTTGAAATTTGATGGATTATTATATTAAGAAATTGGGAAACTGCAGTTTCCCTTGCAATTATAAAGCCCTCTTTAAGCTATCATCAGATAATGTGCCTATCTTAATACAGACTGAGAATGACACTAAGGGGCGAGGCCTTTTCGCTTTGAGAACAGCTAGCTTGAGAGCATGGAGGTGATTGAATTGATAAAAAATTACTTGGTCGAACTATTTAGTTGATGATTGGTATGGTAATTGAATTCGTAGAAAGTTAAAGGAATGTGAAATATAAATTGGTTGATTGGAAGAGAGCTAATCATCAGACTGGGAAGATTGGAATTGCGCAATTGTTACAAAGAAGTTTACACTTAAGACTGAATTTAGCAGGAGCAATCATGCCTTAATGAATCTCTGTCTTTGGAGAGAGTTGATGTGCCGAACCAGCTACATGACTGCCTTAGGATGGAGGAGATCTGTTGCAAGCAAAGACCTAGAGTTAAATAGTTGATAGAAGGGCATCTTAACACAAAGTTCTTTATTCCATTATGTGCAAGGAAGATGCTCAAACATGTGCCCAATTATTCCTTCATTACCCTTTATCTCTAGGATTCGGGATTTGTTCCTCTTGCAAATAGGAATTAGGGTGGCATTGCCTAAAGAAATCTTGGGAGTGGTAACTTAGTGTGTGCTTCCCTTTTACCTAAGATTAACAGTGTGGCATGGAAAATAGTGAGATGTGTGATTGTGTGGGAAGTTTAGAAGGAACACAATCCTAGAACTTTCAATGGGGAAAGTTTACCGTTTAATAGAGTGTTCGATAACATTAAGAATTCTCTATGGTGTTGGTTGTCAGTTATTTAAAGGGGCTGATGTATCTTTGAGACGGATATTATGCTTAACTTGTACAATCTTTTTTGGATCGGTGTGGTTAAGAGTAGACAGAGAAATAGATGCTTCCTTCACCTCATGGTGGTTTTAAGCTCAATTTTGATGGGAGCTCTCAGGGCAACCCTAGTGTGGCAGGTATTGGTGGGATTGTTCGGGATTGGATTGGCACTCAGATCTTCTCCTTTGCTGGTCCTATTGGTACTGCCATGGCGAATTTTGCTAAATTCTCAGCCTCCTCCAAGGTTTGAAGCTATGTAAGAGTAAGAAACTGGTAGATTTTTGTACAATGGAAGGGGATTCTTTGAATGTCATCAGATGGTGTAACTTAAAATGGGGAAATTGAAATCGATTATCCTACAAGTGTGACATTTGGCAGATTCTTTGCATACCTCTTTCGGTCATATTTATAGAGAGGCAAATCATGATGTTGATTGCCTTGCTAAGAGGGGTGCTTCCCTACCTTGCTTGAGGTTTTTTAAGTTGTAACCCCACTATTGTAATCCTTTACCATTAATAAAGTTGTTAACAAAAAAAAAAAAAAGACGACAAATAGTATAAATGGTTTATAAATTCAAGGAGGAGAGAAAATGGATGATAAAGCAATTGAGGAAGTTATAGTCAAGCATTTTAAAAAGCCTTTTAGTACTAGGCCTACACTGAAACTAATTTAAGAAAGAGGTCCTTTCAAGGGTTGACAAAAGAAGATGCAAAGAAATTGGAGAGACATGTTGATGAAGATGAGACTCAACAGGCTGTGTTTTCCTTGTGTTTTCCTTGATAAGTGTTAAATCTAGGTGTCGCCTGATGGTTTTCCTCTAATCTTTTTTAGGAGTATCTAGAATGTGGTGAAAGTGGACATAGCTTAGATGGAAGAGAAATTCTTTAAGATAACCATCATGAAAAGAGCTATTAATTCTACTTTTATGGCCACAATTCCTAAGAAGTCAATAATAGCATCTTTGAATTATATTATGCCAATTAGTTTGCTAATGTGCTTATCCAAGATTATTGCAAATATTTTGTCGAGAAGACTTAGAAATGTTATACTTTCGGTGATTGGTGGACATCAATCGGCTTTTACATGGTAGAGTCATTACAATTGCAATTCTCATTGCTTAGGAATGTGTTCATTCAAGAATACAAGAAAACAAATTGGCATTTTATGTAAATTGGACTTAGAAAAAACTTATGATAGAGTGGATTGGGTTGTTTTACAAGAAATTATGTAATACATGGGTTTTGGACAGAGATGGAGAAAATGGATAGAAGGTTGTTTGTCTTCTGCTCACTTTTCAGGCTTGATTAGTAGGTATTCTAAACGTTCTTTTAAGGCATCCAGATGGATTAGGGAGGGTGATCCACTCTCTCCATTTACTTTAACTTTAGTCACTGAAGCTTTGATTGTAATGATGAGTAAAGTAAAAAGGGAAGCAATCTTCATGGGTTTTCAATGTTTCTACTATAAAGCCAAGTATCTCACTTCTATAGTATCCAAATAATACAATCATATTTTGTGATTCTAGTTTGGATCCGGTAAGATTTTTAAAAAGATCTTTCAGATGTTGTGAAGTGGAATTGGGTTTGAACTTTGAAAAAACTAACATGGCAGGTATAAACTATGAGGACGGAATTAGAGAGATGTTAGCAGAGGTTTTCAGTCATTTCTCTATAAATTACCTAGGTATACCTAATTTTGTAGGAAGACTTGGAGATCTATGTGAGATCCAATAATTCAAAAGTTCCAATTCAAGCTTGTTTTGTGGAAGGCTAAATATTTGTCTTTGGGTGGAAGGATAACGTTGACTAAATCTACTTCATGAAACCTACCTATATATATTATGTCTTTGTCATGTATGGCTTCACGAGTGGTGCATATTCAAGAAAGACTTATGACAAAACTCCTTCTAATTTCCTTTGCGGTAGTGATGATGAAAGAAAGAAGTATCATGTGGTGAGGAGGGAAAAAGTTTGTACTTTAACTTTATTTCCATTATTATTATGTAGACATTGAATGTCAGTTAGGAGATGAGTTTAAGGCAAGGGGGATGCAGTCTAAAAAATATGGATTTGCTTGTTTCAGAAAGAGAGAGGGAGAGAGAATTTTGGACAAAGAGCCAATAAGGATAGGGCCGGGGCATAAACTTACAGTTAGAAGAAGGTAAATGTGGAGCTTCTGGTGAGTGTGGGAGCAGTCATGGAAGCCCTCCAGTTCCTCGACAACTTAGTTATAGAGATGAATAAGAATCAGAAAGTGAGAATACAAACCATTTTCCTACTATCGGGCAGTGCTAGAGTAAATAGGGCTGTCCAACATAGCCATTATCATACAACAATAGAGAAAAGTGCCCAGTCTGACAATGGAAATGCCAGACATATGCTGAAAAAAACAAAAAGATATTATTATGC